GGCAAGTTATAACAATCTGCTGCCTATGGCAAATTGCCACAGTTCAGTAAGCTGGTCTTTTTCTGCTGTTTGAAAAATGTGCTTTGATACTTTAAAAATGGTTGTCACTGATTTCCATCTGCTGAACTGACATTTGCGGTTTGGGGTAAGTGTAAATTTAGAGTTAAGATTAGAGTAAGTTTAGTGTTAGGATTTGGGAAGCAAGTGACGACCCATGTAAACTGAAGCTATTTACTCAAAATGACATGATGTTATGTTAATTTGGTGGCTGGAATTAAGTGACAGCCTTTAAAAACTCAGTAACGGTATTGAGGGTATGTCCTAAAACGCAGCGTGCCAATTGGGTCGGCGTGTCTTTAATGAAGGGAAGTGTGCTGGAGCACGAATGTTTTTATAGAGTCTCAGCCTTCAGGCAATTCAGTTAGTTCGGCTTGTGGCGCCATGAGCTGCAGTAACATTAACGTTTCGAGAAGTTACCCAAGCAGCTACTCTCAATTTTCTTTTATATACGAGATGCTCGAGATGTTCTTTTCGGAGGTTGGGGAAGGTGTTTGGGAGGCCAAGCACAAGCGGATTGGAAGGCAATATTAACCGCTGCATTGAGCGAGGTCATGATTTCTATAAAGGCCTATCGCCACCCTTATCTTGAGTTCTGTTCAGGCCAGCTGTCTTATCGAGTTGATGGACTAAAAAATATAAATACGTGAATGCTGGTCTTCCAGCTAATATCCAGGGACGTGCGGTCAGGGTCAGCAGTGACTTCTCCTTTTTTATCACTAGATTGATGTCCAAGGCAGGTCCAGGACATGCTGGAGAGATTATATCTCCTGGATGGCCTGGGAAGGTCTTGGGGTCCCCCAGGAAGAGCTGATGGAAGTTGCTGGGGAAGGGGATGCCTGGGCCTCTCTGCTTGGTCTCCCGTCTCCAGATAAGCAGAGGAAAATAGATGGGTGGATGGGTGGATGGATGGATGGATGCTCACTAAGCTGTCATTGCAGGATTTGTTTGTTTTATATTGTCCTTTATCCAGTGCTCTGCTCAGTTTGTCAGGACACTGGCCATATACTGTCTGCTACAGTTGTATCATAAATCAGCTTCCTCTCATTTTCTCCTGAAATTACGTTGCAAACTTCATCTGATGTACTGCATTGGGCTTTGTGACCTATTATGGTCTCTTGGTGGTCATGATGATCATACACGTTGAATATTTGAGCCATTACCTGCTGTTCCGCGCCAATCTTTTACTCTAGTTTTACTTAGAAAAAAAAATTCATAACTCAATTTCTCAATCATATTCAGTTAAGGACGTGGGCTACCTATTAATTTTTTCAGCAGTGCTATACTTGGCGCTGGAAATTGTTTACATTTGTTTCTGATGATTCTGTAATTTGACCGATAGTGGCTGAAATGGGCTAAGCATATTCAGATCACGGTTACCTTGCTGCTCACTCAAATAACGACCGAATTATGGTGGCAAGTGGTATTAACATTCATTGTTGACGTGCTGCTTGTTCTACTTGTTTCTGATTGTCCAAACCTAAACTACTGCTTCATCAGTGTTATTTGTTTATCCATGGCAGATGCTGTCATTAGCGGCAGTGTCCAGTTAAAGTAATGGTTTGCAAGTATTACACTGCATACACCTTGCAGCAATGAACCGGCGGCAAATGCTAGCTGCTCGAGTGCTCTGCGATTTTAAATCTTGCATTTGTAAAGTGGACGTAGTTTCAACCAGCACTCTCCAGTAAATGCCTTGAGGAAAGCTCAAAGCATAGATCAGCCACTTCATTAATATTGGAATTTCAGTGATCATGCAGATCGTACCCTACCTTGCAAGTAAATGAACTGAATATCTGCATTACCATTCCAAATTGGCATGTCATCCTTGCAATTTTGGCTAGTATTGTTTTTTGCATAATTGTTTGCACACTAGTACCCTAGTTTGGCTAGTACTATGATTGCTGAGTGCTTTGCTTGGCAAGTAAGTATAGGATGCTTGCTTACATGATGCTCACATCCTCAAGCCCTGGCTTCTCTTGCGTATGCCCAGCAATTCTATGGCCCACAATTACGTTGCCTAGTAGACAATCATTGCTGATTCTTATTAGTATTTATTTACCACGTCTTCAAACTGTTACTCACACGTTGTGGTCATCTGCTTAACACTGTACCCTTCATTTGAAAATGCTTTGCATCTGTCTGTGCTGATTATGTTCCATATCCTCTAACTGTGCCCCTCGCCTGGTTGAGCTAAAGCTATAAATACAGGGGCACATGGCCTCTGGCTCCAAGGGCTCATAAACATCAGCCTCAGGTCTTTGGGTTATTCCTGCATCATTGGTTTTATGGGGGTGTGTGCCGCGTTCCCAGCTTTCAGATTCAGGAATGCTCATTTGTAGTCTCCAATCATGGTATATTTTTGCTTGTTCTTGTATCAAGTTCATTGCAATGATGAGCACATGACATTGTCATATCACGTGGTATATTCCCTTGTAATATCAGCGGCAAAGGAGAACTTTGCTTCACTATGCACTTAATCTCATCATATAGTACTAACAGTTATATCCCCATCACTGCTGCGACCTGCTGCCCTCCGATAACTGTCTGATTTTGCGTTCCCTCCATGTCTGTGGCGGGGCCCTGGCCTGAGCATGCTGCTGCTGGTCTTTGCCATCATCACCATCTGCCCCTCTGGCCTGGTCTCCACCATTGAAGCAGTGTGTGCTCCACAGCACCTATCCAGCTGATTACAAATCCAGGACTGCCTTCTTTTAATTGACTATTTAAGCGTAACAGTAACCATGAACTTATACCCCGGGCTGGTCAGAGGAGGATAGGCTTCCCCTCTTAAGCCTGGTTCCTTTCAAGGTTTCATCCTATTTGTTCCATATACACAGTTTTTCCCGGCCACTATTCCCACAAGCTTTTGCTTTTGAGAGGGTTTAATCCAGGGTATACTGTAAACTGAATGTGGCAATATTTGTGAAATGTGCAGTTCTGATGAAACATAAGGTTTCTCTTGTATTGTTGACTTCAAAGGAAATGAGAACATGGCTGTTGACTCGCATACACTCTTCTCACTACTTTCATATTACAGCAGCAAAAACCATTGATTCATTTGCCTTGCTCCTCTACTAAATGCCATGGGACGTTGTTTCTTATCAACCTTGAACATTGTCTTTGGTCTGGAAACAAGGATGTATCAGAGGCTCGAAAAAGTAATGAGTAAGCTTGTGGAAGCTAATTGAATATTTTAATTGTTCATATGTATTGCATGTTAAAATACGCTCTGATTGCGCTCACCTTCATTCTCTTCTGGCTCATGCATCACAGAGAAAATCTTTCCATGCACATAAGCAGGGCCAAAAAGCAACACTGGACTGTACCATGCCAACTCATCCATTATTATACACAGACCCCTTAAAAAAAGACCTATTTCTCTTTCAAGCAAAGGTGTGCCAGCTGCTGAGCTGTCACCACACATAGTACATTTCATATCGTTTTTTTCTCTTGAATCGGTTTCAAGTGAAATTGTGCCTTTCGCCAGGCCGCCATTACACATAGTACACTTCATAAGGGAAATTTCTCTTGAATTGCCGTTAAGAGAGATTGTGTCAGCCACTGAGCTGTCACTAGAACACTTGTATAATGTATTTCTCTTGTATCAAAATTTCAAATTTGATTTCAAAAGAAATTGGCTGCCACTACACATACAGCACTTCATATAGTACATTTTTCTTGTATTGGCATCAAGAGAAATTATACCAGCTGCTGGGCTGCCTCTAGACATTGAAGGTTTCATAATTTATTCTGTTGTTCAAGTTAGCTTATACCCGGTGTGGTTTTGTTTGGGGGGTTAGTTGCAGCTCCTGCCTTCAGTTCTATGTATGAATGGGCAGAGATCTAAGAACAGAGCCATGTCGCCAAACCCAATGTGTACATGCGTGCCTGTATGCCTTCAATAAAGCTCTTCCTTTGCTGATAAGACCACTGCTTCAAAAATGAAGCCTCGGAGTAAATTCTGATAGGCCGTGGAATCAAGCTCTCTTATATATGGAGGCAGTTTTTTCAACCTGCTGGAGAGTCACCTGAGTGTAAATGACCTTCACCAGACTTCACCATCAGATGATTGTTTGACCAGTAATATGCAGGTTTACTCAAGACGGAATCTTGAAGAGTAACTCCTTGCACTGCTTGCTTGGCAACCCTCCTCCACCTCTTCTTTTTGATGTCATTGTTGCTGTAGGCTCTGTTCTACGGGGGTGGGGGGGATGGGGGGGGGGGGTTGGCGGGGGCATGTTGCCAAACTCAATGTATGCCCATATTTTTACATTTTTTTATTGAGCTTTGACACCAGTCAGGAAGTGATTGCACAGGTGACAAGGCACCTATAATGAAGCAATCCTCCAATGCCTATGTGCCTTCAGTAAATCTCTTCCTTTTCTGACAAAGTGGTCTGATCAGAATTGCCAACTTTTGTCACATGCTTGTTTCTGTGGGCAATGTGGAGTGACCCTGTTATTAAGAGTTAATTTGGTTTTATACTGTATTGGTCTTTTACACAGACTTGCAGGGATAGCACAGTAGTGTGGTGGGTAGCAGTGTTGCCTCATATTAAGCTCATTTGCTTCTGGCCTGGGTTGGTGTGTGGAGTTTGAATGTTCTCCTCATGTATACATGGGTTTCTTCCCAAAGCCAAGCTTACCCAACTAATTTGAGACTCCAAGTCGCTCTTAAGATAGACAAGATAAGATGTAATTTATTGAACCCCGTGGGGTAATTTGTCCTCTGCATTTGACCCTTCCTATAGTTAGGAGCAGTGGGCAGCCACAGAGCAGCGCCCGGGGACCAACTGCAGCTCTAAAGCCAGTGGCCTGGTCAGGGGCAGCGGTAGGAATGTTCCTATAACACATGTTTTATCTGGGTGGGGGAAACCGTTGTACCAGAGGACACCCACGCAAACACGATAAGAGCATGCAAACTCCACTCAGGGACTCCCTGGCCCACTGGGGCTCGAACCCAGAACCTCCTTATTGTGAGGCAGCAGTTCTAACCACTGCGATAGATAGGCAGACTGTCCAGGGTGTGGTCCTGCCTCTAACCAGTTGCATGTTGGGATAGCCCCTCCTTTACCCTGACCGGTGTAGAGACGTGGGTGATCTCTAGCGAGTTGGGAGAGTAGTATAGATGAACAGCAGATGAAAATCTTCTTACCCTAGCTGTAGTTTTATTAAGGGTAGATGTTGTTGAGATACAGGTTGTGGTTTCAGCACTCAAAATGTTATCTTATAACACAAAATTAGTTGCACGTCACAGACGAGCGTGCTCTTCCTTACAAAGGTAAACCTCCGACTCAGCAAGGCGGAAGTGATGTCACCACTTAGACACCCAGGCAATGATCATTACACCGGGCATTAGCGAATCAGATAATGGATGTGTACATGAGTAGTGTCTAACTTTTATAAACTTGTCATAATCTGTTCTTTATTTTTGATACAATTGAAGGAATATGCTGAAATAACCATGAAGAAGCGATGAAAATTGCATTTAATTCTTTAAAAAAATCTCTCATGTTCAGTTCGATGATCGCACTGAATATTCAGTGCATGCGGAATTTTTGGAAATATTAAGTTTACGAGCAATTTCTTCATACACAATTACTGTTCACAGCAAAAGTTGTTTTTGTTTTCACAAAAATTGCCAATTTGGACCATATTGTCTGGTAATCCAGTGTTCCCAGCAGGTCCTATCCACCAAAATGTAAGGCCAGTCAGCAGCTGAGATGACGCACAATATGCCTGTTATCCTTCTCATCCAAAAGTCACTTAAGGAGTAGAGTCATCACTATAGATGAAGACTCAACTACCGGCTGTGGACATCATCTTTGAGGGTCTGTAAAAATGAGGTCAGCTTTACTTACAGTATTTGAGCTAGAAGGAGGAACTTAAGCATAGAAACACTTAAGTGAGGAAGTTGCGGCAAACAGCTGAAAATGAGGAAGCTGATGAGCTCTTCCCACAGAACATAGTTTGCTAAACGCCAGCATCAACCGGAGCGAGGCCTGCACTGAGGATCGAAGGGAGGAAACAGACTCAGCGTGTAAAGTGTAAATCGCTCCAGCTCTGTGCTCCGCGTGTAAAAGCCAGCAGAGCCCCTCATGCTGACAGTTTTCTGTGCTAAAGTTGCGTTTTTAAAGACCTCAAAAGGAGTCGTCGCCACATCCTGTTCTGTCCATTTCTGCAACTCAACATGGTCGCCGTCGGGTGAGGACGCCGGCTCATCTAGCGGACAGAGGGCAGATTTTCAGTAGGTGAATATTTGGAAAGATTGTTTTAGTGTCATTCTGTCACTGCCGGGACAGCTCAGTGCTGCTTGTTTGTAGAGCTATCCCTGTCTGCAGTTTTCTGGCTATGGATTAGCTTATTTCCTTTAAAAGGGAATTGAGCGAAATGACTTTTAGGTGGGGCATTGCAAACACTCCAGAAATATTCAAGGTCAAAACATCTCTCAACATACAAAAATGAGAAAAATCAAGAATTTCAAAAATGCATTGAAATTTAATCATAATTGTAATGAAATATCTGAAATTACTACTTCAGTGAGAAACCACCAGTGCTTCATTGAATTCCATGCACATACATTTTTACATAGAAAACTTTGCTATAAAAGTTCTCAGTATTACAACCACAATTAATTTAAGAACTAGTAAGAGCTGTTTTGGCCATCCTGAACTACAGATTACATTAAAACTGGATCCATTTCTTATTTCACGGTTGTCATTTGCAATACAGAGAATAGAATGGCATGAGTGGAGGTAGTTTGTGTAAATGGGGGAAAAAATGAAATATTTATACTTTTTTGAAAGAATAAATTAGAAGTTTGACTGTAAAATGCAGTTTTACTCTCACAATTACGGCCAATATGAACCGAAATGACATCATGAGCTGGCAGTGAGCTTTAACAACGATACCGATGCTATTAAGACGCAATCTTAATTTGGAAAAACAAATATAATCGTATGCAAAAAATGTTGAGTGACTCTCATTATTGTGGCTGTACGTTCAATTTAAGTTAATGACACTTTTTAGATATTGCTGTGTCAATTAGCCCAGTGAGAATATGTTAGCATTTTCTTATCGCTATTAATATTTTTTAATGTATATTTGGAGGTGATCATAAAACATCTGAGGAGCTTTTAATGTGAGGCATGAAACGTACTGATAAAATTAGTGGTTGTTATGGTACTGATATTTTAGACAATTTTTGTCTTGCTGTCATTTTTTTTAAGACTGGGTTGATCAGCACATTTCCCTGTCATATTGATCCCGTGTAAACAGTAATCTTTCCTCAGTCTTAGCTCAGTGCCAAATTTTATTCGCAAAAATGTCGTGCCATTTAACTTACTGTCATTTTATCAGCCTTAAAAAATGAGTTTTTATAAAATTACAGGACTATCTTTAAAAACAAATTGTTGGTAGAATTTAGCCATTTTTTGCAAGTTTTTTTATTTTTTGATAGTAAATAGTTTTTAACCTGCCAATCGCTTGTTGAAAATGACCCCTCGTGAGTCGCATTGTTTTTTTTTTTTTTTTGAACTGGAGGGTTAAGGAAGCAGGCTTGTGTCTTTGTGCTGAGGCCAGGTCCTATAGCCGGCTAAAGCTGACTTCCTCTGATAAAGTCACTGGTGGTTTTTACATAATAAGTGTTACTTTAACCAGTTAAGCCTTCCAACAATAACACTATTCTCTGCGCTTGAAAAGCACTCTACAATTGACTCTAGTCCGAATGAATTGCGTGTTCCTTTACAACCATTTAGTTGGATGAAAGCAACACAATTAAAAACCAACACAATTAAAACTCAAACTGTTGCATCAGCAAATGATGCAAAACATTATACGTTTTAAGTTGGACCGTCAATTATTTGTGCATGTATGCCTTTCACTTGAATGATATGAATTTATTAAATCATTCTTTTCATATTCAAGAGTATTTAGTGGTAAGCTTGCAAAGTGTTCTTAAATATATACAGAAACGATATAAAAATTGTGAATACACCATAATGTTTCATTACGGCAGAATAAACGTGAATGGAGAAATTATGGCTTTCACAGATGACCTTCGTGACATGTTCTGAGGCAAAGGGGAGATGATGTATTTTTCAATGTTGCTGTAGAAATACAGTAGCTAACTTGTCACGTCTCTCACACTGAATTCTCGAATATTTTTACCAATATTTAATAAATCCAGATAGTTAAATAAAAGGTTATATATTGACTATCACTTAAAACTGAAATATCTGTGGTATATTATACCTGCAGCAAATATATTTTATGTTACTGTAGCAGGCTGGGTGGGACCTTTGAAGCAGTAAGTTCCATTTATGGCAAAAGCTGCGGTACATTACGATCGCAAAATGAGTCATCTGATTTACTTATAAAATATGGAGCGTGATTGCCATGGAATAATATTCCATTTTACTGTACTCAGCGTACAGAAAGTGGCAGGGATGCGATTGGACAAGCGCTCCACAGCAGTCTTTACTGCTGAAATGTTTACACTACCAGTCAAATGTTTTAGTCAAATCTGAGCAGTTTATCGTGTGCAATTTCATAACCACAAATCGCTCAAGGCGAAACATGAGATGTATAAAGTCCAAAAGAATCTTTTATTTCACAGTTTAGTGACCTACATTTTTGAGTTGATCAGTAATACAAATGGGTAAACTAATTATTTAAATTCTTCATCAAGGGAAGTAAAATCACACTAGTTTTGGATGAGTTGGAGGGAAAAATCTCAAAGAATTGACTTGTAAATGCATGCATCCACAAGAACATGTGAATCCTCTGATGCCATGAATCTTGTCCAAAGAGAGGTGGCTATTTTGATTGATTTAAAAAGTGCTACTTTGGATCAAATTTTTTTACAATTGACATAATTAGTTCTCTTCACCTCAAATATGAGTCAGCGTTAACATATTTAGGTTGAGAAAAACCAATTAAGTTAGGTGTAACAAATTAATGCAATCTACTCTAGTTGGTCCAAAGTAAAACTTTCTACAGTATTAAAGGATGTTGAACATTTTTTTTGTTTAAAATGTGGTTGCATGTCTTTTATCTCTGTGCCTGATTGCTTTGAAAATTGTGGATTGCCTAAACTATCGACTGGTAGTTTAAGAGCCGTTGACTGCGTAATTTTTGACTGCTGAGTGAACATTAAATACACTGTTGGAATTATTCTGAGAAAATCTTAGAGGGCGGACAGAATGGTGCATACTTGTTAGACCTTTGGTTGTATTTTTGTAGATAGAGAACTCTGTCTTGATTTAAGTATTTATTTTGTTGATTAAGACCTGTCAGGTGAATTTATTGCTATTATAATGAGAAATGACCAAATGCGTATCAACAAATGCAGCCAATGTTCAAGCAGGGGAAAGACGCCATCCACTTTCTTGCTGAAGATTTTCATTTGTATTAAATATTGGTTGGTGCCAATGTAGAGGCATGTACTAATGGCCATGTTCCAGTGCATAAAGACAGCTGAGGTGTCTTTGAGTGAAGTGCTCTTGGTGAGACTGTACTATTACACAGGCCTCAGCGAACAACAGACACGAAGATGCAATAATTTCCATTTTATTCCAAATAAGTTTATAGATTTAAACAAGCGCTTTTATGCATGTTGAATATTTATAACCGATGAGGCTACAAATGCTTTGGAGTGAGATGCATGTGAAAATAAACTATCATTGAGCAAATAAAACTATTGAACCATTTATAATGCTGCACTGCGCTGTGAAGAAGTATTCCCCCCCTTCCTAATTTCTTATATTATTGCTTATTTGCCATATTTAAATGTTTCAGATCATCCAACTAAAATGGAAAATGCAACTTTTAAATGATCGCTTCATTTATTTAAGGTATAGAGTTATTCAAAACCTGTATCACTCAGATGAAAAAATAACAGCCTTCTTGAGCCTAATAACTGGTTGTGCGACACATGGTGGCAACTACTGCAGCTAGACATATACGTAACAGGAAATGAGTCTTTCACATCACTGTGCAGGAATGTTGGCCC